TAATATTTTATACAATTAATTTTAATATGAATTGATGATAGTGATTATGTTAGTGTAGATCAATATTTCTTGATTGAGTAGAAGATATATTGTTAAAACAGAGTTTTCATTAGTAAGTGTATAAAACTTGTTAAAAAGGGTAAGTCATCTATAACAAACATGTTTTTCCTCACTACCCCTTTGATATACTAAACGTTATCTATATATTAAAGCCAAAAATAAATAAATCTGGGTTTTGCAATGTTTAGAATAGTTGTTTTTTTTTCAAATTTAAGCAAATAATTCTAAGGTAAGCCTGAAAGAAAAAGTAATGAATAACATGTTTGTTTTCATTTCCCAAAATACTTCTTAATGATTTAGTCACAAATAAATGTAGCAATAATGAATTTAAACTAGATATACCCACACCTATTCTCTTTGAGATTTTAAAGCCAATTATTATTATCCAAGGCATTTTCTTGGCATATTTTGTAACTGGGATAACTCGCCAGCCTTTAGTGGCTTTAATGTGAAAGTTCTATTCTATTTTATTTTTTCTTGAAAAATCAAAGTGGCCCCCACTGCTATTTCTGCAGCCTGCTGGAGGGCACTGCTATAGGTCTAATCATCCTAGGAAAAAGACTTGTAGGGTTTAAATTATTATTTCCCATATTTTTTTTTCTTTCTGAGTAGACTAACAAAATGAAATCTTGCATATAAGAAGAGATCTTAAAAACAGAAACAAAAAACCCTACAGTAAATAAATGAGTGCTCATAAAAGGGTGGGTTGGGACATTAGCCTTCGAAGCTTATCTCACACTAACATAGCACAGCAAATGGGTTCTGAGTGGCACAGAGCCCAAACAGCAGAGACAGAGGATCCCCTATGTTCATAAAATGGTGCAGTGAAAACTAAGTCCCACCAAAATAAGAAAGCAAGCAAAAAACATCAATCAGCAACCAAGTTACATTACAGACAGACAAGAACACTCATTAGAAACCAAACAACAAAGAGACATAAAGCAACAATCAACAGACATTCTTCTATACAATATTTATAGGCACACATAACCCACAGACAAGACTTAATAAAACAGTCTTTTTCATGGATCTTCAGAAGATGTCTTAAAGTGCCTGGGACTTACAGCCAGACTGTGGCCCAGAGGGCTCCCAGGTGCGGTCGCCAGTGAACACCTACAAACAGCCTGTTGTTCACAGATCTCATCATATTCTGCTCTCCGTAATAACTATTGACTGGCGTCCAGAGTTGTTTTGGCCAAAATCTGCCAGTCCCAAGGCCTCAAATGGCAATTTCCAGACAAGACATTAAGGAGTCCTTTTGCAAATGGACTGTTAGCCCCATTTTCTCTAACGCTTTTCCTTATTTCTTAAAGGTTTTAAAGGAGAGTGGCTCATGAATCCGATTACCTTGCTGATCTTGCATAACTGCACACGCCAAAAGCTCTCCTTCTAACATAGGTTGGCTGTCACATGATCCAATAACTGGGGATCTAGTTCATGAGCCTTCCCACCGGAGGAGGAGAATCGGGATGGGTTTCTTCTGATGACGGGGCCTTAGGTGTTACAGGCTCTACCTCAGAAGGAAGGGGCAGTGGTAAGGCCTCCTGCATTCTGTAGGCTTTTGATCCTCAATATAAAGTGGGCATAGTGCAGCTTGAACAAGAGCCCACATAGTTAAAGATGACAAGGGCTCTCGTTTTCCCTGGGCCTGATTTCTCTTTAAATTCCTACCTACTTGCTCCCAGAGATCAAAGTCTAATGTTCGAGCATCACGGAACCAAGGATTATAAATTATAACAGTCTGCAACAGGCTTTTTAATTGTTCTTCTGTAACTTTTTTTACATTTTTTTTTTGAGCAGCTATGCGACCACTTAAAAATTAGTGGCTTTATTATGATAGGATAAGAAAAAACAGGGTGAGTGCAAATTATCAGTCACTGCTACATAGATAATACAGAAATCAAAGGTAAGTGTTTAGCCTTTTAAAAATTCTGTAGAAAGGGTTTGACTCTAATTATAAAACAATTTTAGTTTTGATTCAAAAACTCACCTTACCTGCAATTAGTATGTACTAATATGATAGCTATGCAAGGGATTAGCTAAGAAATAGTCTCCAACATTTTTGTATGAGCATGATTATTGGTAAACAAGTTTTACAGCAATAGATTTTTCATAAATTAATTATTTACTCCAACAGGTTTTTTATTAATTATAAAAATATATTAAATGTTTAAAACTACAATTATTATAAAACATGCAAAGGTACACATTAAATAATAAGACAATATAATTTCTAATTTATTATTTGCATATCCAGAGTATAGCACTGTGCACCCTCTGAGAAAGAGGTCCCCCACTTCGGAGACCACTGGTACTTCTTAAGCTTTAATATGCATGTTACCTGAGCATTTTCTTAAAATGAAGATCTTAATTCAGTAGGTCAAGGGTGGGATACTTTGTAGGGTTGCATAAAAAATATTACTAGCAACTAAAACCTATATGGAAAGTGCTTACCTTTAACTTTTGCTGTCTTACCTAAAAGTGTGGGATAGCTTGCTACTTTCATTGAATTATCTTGAAGGAAAGCTATACAGAAAAGTTCTAAAAGAGATTTTACTGCAGAATTATCAAGGGAAATAATATCTGTGGTATTGTATAAAATATATAAGTAATTATATAAATTTTAAAAAAGTTTGGTAACTATAAACATCAAAAATAAATTTTACAAATTTTTGTCAGAGGAAATTATACAATTATTAAGTTAGAGACACAAAAAATGACTTTAGAGTCCTGGCTGGTTTTGCTCAGTGGTTAGAATGTCAGCCTGTGGACCAAAGGGTCATGGGTTTGATTCCTCGGGTGTGGATTCGATCCCCAGCTCTGGTTGGGGCCCAAGTGGGAGGCAACCAGTTGATGTTTCTCTCTTCTCTCTCTCTCTCTCTCTCTCTCTCTCTCTCTCTCTCTCTCTCTCCTCTCTCTCCCCGCCCCTCCTCCAACCTTCCACTCTCTTTAAAAGATCAATGGAAAAAAATATCCTCTTCAGATGAGAATAAAAAAAAAGACTTTAGATATTTCTATTGTTTTCATTAGATTATTATGCTTTAATGCAGGTTTAACATTGTTACATGAATATAGCACAGAAAAATATTTTTTTGCATTGTTGGCCTTGCTTTCCTACATCTGTAAAGATATTTTTAGTAAGCACAAGGAGGAAATTGAAGTATCACTCTGATTTTCAAATTATTCTGGTCCAATTATTCACGTCATTTAATGAGGCCTTTCTGCAAGGGAATCATCGCAGCTGCAAGAAACATGCAAATCACATTGTGAGGCATCCAGAATTCAGAAATCCTGTGGTAATCTATATGAATATCTTTCTTTATAATCTGTAAGCATAAAGTATGAATATTTTTAAAGTAAACTTGAATAGTTTTCAAATTTGGTTTACTAAAATATACAATCCTTGGAATATATAGTTCGTACTCAACTATTAGAGTTGTTTGGGAAAGGAATATAAGTTTTGAAAATGAAAGAATATGTTACAATTATGCTTTTGTCCTGCTTGCAGATCTTAACAAAACAGCTTTAATAACTAATTCTAAGATGGATTATACTGACCACTTTACTTTTATAATAATTAAAATTTACTAACTTAATTATCAACCAGTAATATACTATGGCTTTTGTATTTAATCTACCATCATAAATGCAATAAAGTAGGCACTCTTTAAGAATGTGGAATCTAAAGAACAAAATAAACTGATGAACAAAATAAATCCAGGGACATGGAATAAGGCAGGAGGTGGGGAGAATTAACCAAAGAACTTATATGTGTACATGCATAACCCATGGACACAGACAATAGTGTGGTGAAGGCCCAGGGGTGGCAGCCCATGGACACAGACAACAGTGTGGTGAAGGCCCAGGGGGTGGCAAGGGAAGGCAGGCTAGAAGGGGTCAATGAGGAAATAAGGGGACATCTGTAACACTTTCAACAATAAAGACAAATTTAAATAAATAAATAAAGATGAATGGAAAGAAGAAATAGGAGAAACATTAAAATCTAATCTAAAAATAACCAGCTATTACATTAAATATAGATGGATAAGTAACCATGTAAGTCAAAGATCAGTATCCTGGAACAAAAACAATCTTAATGTAGGTTCATTAATAACTAAAAAAATTATACCTTTAAGGTGAGAATCACCACTGTATAGAGAAGAAATATTTCATTAACTTAAAAAATAGATTCAGCAAGAAAAAATTGAATGCATAAATATCGATAGCATACATTGAAATAAAGAAATATAAAATATATATTGTATAGGAATTTTTTAATTAGAAAAAGATTACTGGGAGAATTTAAAGACAATCTTAATAACATAGAGGTACATACTATGCTCTGTTCAAATTGATGTTACTTTGATTAATACAACATTGCTTAAAGTAATAAAGTATTTGAAATTGCAGTATAAAAATATTCTTCAACGTAGAGGCACAAGATGTATCATCTCTGATTTTAGAATTTTCTTTTTCACATGGACATAAATAAGAAAATTTCTTTAAGTTTGTAAAGCATCTAGGTCATACTACTTATTTTTGGTTATAAATGTTTTCAATTTAATGATTAAACTTTAGTAAACAGTTTCTATAGCATTGCAATTGTTTCCTAACATCTACGGCCTGTTCTGAATAACATCATATATTTTACCACCAAGTTTTTAAATATGTTTTTATTGATTTTTAGAGAGAGAGGGAGGGAGAGGAATGGGGGGTTGGAAACATTGCTGAGAGAGAAACATCATCAATCAGCTGCCTCCTGCACATCCCTAGTGGGGATCGAGCCTGCAACCCAGCCTGACCAGGAATCGAGCCAGTGACCTTGTGGTTCATGGGTTGATGCTCAACCACTTTGCCACCCCAGCTGGGCTTACTATCAATTTGATTTTTAAAACTTCACTGTGAAATAAATCCATTCACTTTTCACTTCTATGTTCTAGGTGTGACCGTACTTGAAGGCCCGATTTATGCTGTGGGAGGCCATGATGGCTGGAGCTATCTGAATACAGTGGAGAGATGGGATCCCCAGAGTCAGCAGTGGACTTTTGTTGCAAGTATGTCAATTGCCCGAAGCACAGTTGGTGTAGCAGCACTGAATGGCAAGTGAGTAGATTTTTCCTTTTTATCTGAGAAAAAAAAATTTCTGAGTGAATATTCTTATAAATTAACTCTTAGTAAGATTGTTCAATTAAAATCTTTTTAAAAGGCGAAAGATTTATACGGTCTGAAGAGAAACCAGAGCAGGGATAAGGACACATATGTAATAACTTAATCAATAAAGAAATTAAAAAAAAATCTTTTAAAAATATCTTCAGATTTTAATTGTTTTAAAAAAGATAAGGACACATATGTAGTTTGGCTCAGTGGATAGAGCGTCAGCCTGCGGACTCAAGGGTCTCAGGTTCGATTCCAGTCAAGGGCGTGTACCTTGGTTGCGGGCACATCCCCAGTGGGGAGTGTGCAGGAGGCAGCTGATTGATGTTTCTCTCTCATCGATGTTTCTGACTCTCTCTATCCCTCTTCCTTCCTCTCTATGAAAAATCAATAAAATATATTTAAAAAAAAAACAAAAAAAACTAGTCTTCATGGATACTTGACAAGTCAAGAAAAACTGTATTTTTCTGGTTGTCTCTTCATATAAAATAGAAACCAAAACTTCTTCACATGAATTACTGATTAAAGATGTATCAAATACATTTCATGAAAATTACATTCACTAAAGATCTGCAAACTTAATATTCTTTCTGATAAAATTACCTGATGAGCCTTCAAAAGGCTATAAGAAGTTTGGTGCCCAACATATAATTGTTTCCTAAATATAATAGTCTGGTCACTTTTCACAATTTCTATTTCTTTTACTCTATATCAGGAATTCTCAGCCTTAATACTTCGTATTTTTTGAGCCAGATATATTTTTGTTGGGGGTGAGGCTCTGTCCTGCGCATTGGAGGGTGTTTAACAGCATCCTGAGCTTATATGCGCTAGGTGCTAGTTACTCTGACCCCAGAGTAACTAGCCAATGTGACAACCAAATGTCTGCGGACGTTGTCATATGTCCTTGGGGATGGCAAAATGCAATCCTTCTCATTACCTTGAGAACCCCTGGCCTAAACAAAGCGAATAACACATCTTTGCCTGGACAACTGCTCAAACTAACAATCTGGTCTGCGGACGTTGTCATATGTCCTTGGGGATGGCAAAATGCAATCCTTCTCATTACCTTGAGAACCCCTGGCCTAAACAAAGCTAATAACATCTTTGCCTGGACAACTGCTCAAACTAACAATCTGGCCTCCCTACTCATTCCCATACAGTCCACTTGCTAACGCAGCCAGAAGAGCCTTTTATGAATGCAAATAATGTCAGTGTTCTTCAAGGGCTCTCTTTGCAATTAGAATAAAATGCATGTCTTTACCTACAAGGAGCCCCTAGATCTTGCCCCTGTCTACTCCTTTTTCTCTGTGTATCAGCCAAGTTGCCCTTTTACCTCTGCCTCAAATATGGCAGCTTCTAAGCCAACTCAGGCCTTTTGTGTTTTCTTTTCTTCAGAAGGTATGTTTTTTTTGTGTGTGTATGTGGTTTTTTTTTTTTTTTTTTTTTTTTTTTTTTTTTGTCTGAGATGCTGTTTCTAGCAAATCTCAGGTGCCTGGATCCTTCTCATCATTCAGGTTTCATCTCAGAATTTGTTCACATGAAGTTGTTTATTAGCCATCGTATTTAAAACAGGCAACACTGCATACCTTTCCAAACTACTCACTGTTCTTGAAATTGTATATGTTATTGTTTTTGTCTCTTTTTTAAAAAATATATTTTATTGATTTTTTACAGAGAGGAAGGGAGAGGGAAAAAGAGTTGGAAACATCGATGAGAGAGAAACATTGATTAGCTGCCTCCTGCACACCTCCTACTGGGGATGTGCCTGCAACCAAGGTACATGCCCTTGACCGGAATCAAACCTGGGACCTTTCAGTCCACAGGCCGATGCTCTACCCACTGAGCCAAACCGGTTAAGGCTGTTTTTGTCTCTTATCCCTAGCTTTATAAGCTCACTAAATGTTGATATTTTATAAGCATCATTCATTGTAATATTCCTGGGCTTGATAGCCCTTTACCATACGTACTCAGTAAATGGTGAATGAATTGCCCTGACTTTTTGTTAATCCTCAGCCGAGGATATTTTTTTCTTTGATTTTTCCTTTTTAGAAGGGAAGGAGAGGGGGAGGACGAGAAAGAGACAGAGACAGAAACAGACAGACACAGATACATTGATTGGCTGCCTCCCTCCCCTACGCGCCTTCACATGTCCTGATGTACATAGGTGCGAAGCGGTGGAGCTAAGACTGAAGGCAGTTCTGGCCTCCGGAGCCACGAGAGGCTTGGAGGCTCCTCCGCCCGGAGTGAAGGCCTGGGTCCCAGGTGTCGGAGGAAAACCGGTGCCGGCAGCCAGGGGAAGGGAAGGCCTATTGCATGAATCTTTTCGTGCAACAGGCCTCTAGTACTATATATATATATATACTGCTTCTGTCACCTAAATTGTAAATAAATATTAGTGTAGCATTAAGAACTTTTGGAAATTCACATTTTAATGGCTATTTAGTAGTAAACCATATGAAAAAAACACCCAAATAAACAAAACTAAATGTAAGTCAGTAGTCTCTCATTTTTTAAATCAAAAGTATTTAATTGTACCTAAAATAGTTATATCTAAAATAATATATATCTAAAATATTTCCCAAAATTTGATATAAAAAGCTATTGTTTTCAGGTTTAAAATAAATATTTTAAGTGTTTTATTTAGTAGGATTAATTTTCCATAAATGCCTTTTCTCCCTGGTAATTTTCTTTTCCACATAAACTGGGGAATTTTGTCTTCTATATCATAAATTCAGTTATGACATTTTGTTTATGAATTTTATTTCCAATGTAAACAAAATTTTTTGCATTTTAGTTTTTCTTACATGATATTTTTGATTCCTCTCTTTTCTATCTACTTCATAAGCATTTGTTTCAATTGAGTGTGCTAGCTTATCAGCTTACCTTTAAAATGTCTTGTGATGGCGGTTAATTTGCATACATAGGTGCGAAGCTGTGGAGCTAAGACTGAAGGCAGTTCCGGCCTCCGGAGCCAGGAGAGGCTTGGAGGCACCTCCGCCCGGAAG